CTACAATTACATGGTATCAAACATAATCTAACATCATTATATAACCCCCAAAGTAACGGTGAAATGGAACGATTCAATAAATGCCTAAAAGAGGGTTTGAAGACGAATTTGTCGGAGGGAATGACATTCGCAGATTCAGTTCGTACAATACTACAGAACTATAGAGCTACACCACATGCACTTACTCAGAAGTCACCTTCACAACTTATGCTTAATCGTCAAATGCGTCTACCACTTGATAAACTAAAACCACCCACTACCAGTTTCGGTAATGCACAAACAGACATGAAGTCAGAAATAGAACAACGTCAAGCAAAAATCAAGTCTTACACAGATCAACGACGTCACGCTAGATCCACCAATCTGAATGTAGGAGACTGGGTGAGAGTTAAACGTCCAAATTGCAGCCATAAGCTCTCCTCTACATTTTCTGAGCCACATCGCATTGTTATGAAACTTGGTAAGTCTTCGTTTAGACTAGACAATGGTACAGCATGGAGTGCCAGAAGATGTGTACGTTCACATAGACCTGATTCATTCGTACTCCCACCTGAACTCCCTAGCGAACACTTAATGATGAACCCAGAACATCATCCAGTAGTTACAAATGCTAACAGCTTACCTACACACGAAAGTCGTCCAGTACGAATAACAGTTATGCCAGCATATTTGAGAGACTATGTACTTTCATAAGCATAAGAACTGTATCTATAGAACATTAGTTTGTTAATGCAGTTAAAAGGATTTAAACTGTTGCATGTTTGAGATTTTGAACTCTTATCAAACTTTAATATCGTTTTTTCATTCATTGTATGTTTGTACTTAGGATTACGCATTCTTTCCGTGAGGGGGAATCATGTTGTGTCTGCGCATTACTAATATAAACATATATCGTACTTTGCATGGCCATATTCCCGCCATCAGTTGGGTTGCTTAGCAACAGATGGGATTCTGGGACAGGGCTGCCATCTTGTTTGGAGTTCTGTTAGTTATTATACAAGTAAACATTCCTTGTACTTTGAAACTGTCGTCTGCGTGTTTATTGGGCCCGACACCACATTTTGGTGACGAGGATGGCTGAATTTCATCTTCCACCACCTACACCTAGTCCAGGGATATGGACAAATTTATGCAATATTTGTTGTAGCATGTTGTAGCTTGATCAGTAATTCCGTCTAAGTATGGCAAAGTTATTAGCAAAAAAGCGATGTAAATTGCAAAATTTCCCAGCGGATTATTCTCACGATAACGGAGGGGTCGTCACGTGAATTGAGTCTTAAGCGACGATAACAACACATGCTAAAATCACAAAAGCTCATGAGTAGACGCTTGTTTGTAAACATCGACACGCTATGGCCGTCTGACGTATGCGCAAGTGTCGGACCTTTTCCGTCTTTTTTTTTACAGACAATGGAATGGACATCGCTTTCGCAGCGACTTCGCTTTGCACTCTTTGGTGGGCGTGGTTTCGATGACAAGTTTCAATGTTTAACCAATAGATAAGTTCGTATGAACCAATGATATTATTTTCTACATTTCTGACTGATTAGCATAAAACGCACCATTTCGTTTTCCAACGCATATATTGTATGTATCATAACAGACCTGCTGCGAGTTGAAAAATTGGGAGCAAATTTCCAAATTTCATTTACAGAACACTTCTTGCATTTACTACTTTACATTTTCGTTTTAAAGTCGCATTTGAGAATTTCGCATTTTCTAATTCTTTCAAAGTACAGGAATCGTTTTCTTCACGGAACCGACATTTAACGCTGCCGATTAATAAGTTGATAAAACGATGATTTATTTAGTCACAACCGATAAATTGGTCGCAGCGTATGTTCAAAGTAAGGCGTCTCTGTTTGAAAAAAATAAAGATACTAGTGTTCTCTGTGTTCCTCGTGATTGTCTTCGAACAAATAAATCTGCTATCATGGGCCACTAATTGGATATTCTCCATAAATGCATTCGTGTTATCAAGTGGCAATATTGCAATAATATAATGTCACAGGCTACAGTTTGTTTTGCAGATTCAGCCTCGGAAAATTTAATTTCAGAGTCAGCTCGCAATCACATTTAATATCAGAAATTATTTACAGTATGCCTGTTTCGATCTACAGTTGTTATCATAAATGTGCGTAAAATGGCACTGATATTGTCACCTTCCTGTATATTGGCAATATGTTGAATACAGAACATCCTGAATTCAATTTTTGCAATAGCGTGTTGTCAATGTACACACTGTGTAGCATCCCACATACATGAAAAGACATTTATTTGTACATTTTTCTCAAAAGACTCTAGGAAATATACGGAGTGTAAACAAATCAAAAAGTACATCAGGATTCGACCTGCAGGAAATGGCTGCCGTCGGAGTTTCATGTGACCCAGAAGATATATAAACAAGTACATCAAATTAATCGTTTTTGTCATGTTTTAGTTTGGTGAGAGTATAATAATAGTCATAATATCGATTGGCAATAGTTTCGATGGTGTGATGCGATAAAATATTCTGCCTGAGGTGGAGATATTCGCTCATATACGGATATGTACATATACATGAATGTACAAGCTGTTGAAATACCTATGTATATTGTTCGAGTTCGGTATATAAGTGAGAAAATCTTGAAAGTATTATGGAATATAAATACATACAAACTATTGGAAGTGTGATTAAACAGTTACTTGTAAAGGGAGAAAATCCTTACAAAATACAAAAAATATTGAATCCAATCCGGTCGATATACTGATTTGTCGACCGTTAAAGTGCATTGTTGACTGAGACAAAACTTAAATTAAACACGCCAATGCAAAACAATGAAAACAAGCAATCATTTAATTTTAAATTTAGGAAAATCATAATACGTTACCAGCATGAATATATAAATGAGTGGCTAAGATTCGTGTAGTATATTTTATCATTTGACGTATTTTAATATAAAGCCGAGTGTATATTATATTGAAATAACACATTGCAAAGGCTGGATATGTGATTATGAGCACTTTTAGTACCCTTAATTAATGTAATACAATAATATTAATGACGGAAATAACGAAAGAATAATAAATACAAATCATTAAATATGCCGTGACGTCACATATTATATATCTTTGACAACTCCTATTACTTAAAACTGACAGTGTTCCTTGTGAAAGTTATTTCTCTCAATGGCCATGTTGTGTAATCAAATTACAAGTTGAGCAATCAAAACTTTATGTGGTTTTTGACGAACGCTACACATTAATTCACTGCATTGGCATTTTCCTTGGATGCTACCAGTCCGTATACTTTTACGCAGTGAGTATTGCCATCCGTAATGGCCACGCGGTATGGGTTACAACGGAACACGCTAACACCGAGGATATCGCTGCATCTGTCTATTTCATCGATGCTGAATCTCAATTTCAATTCTGATGTGAACATTTTAATAAGACCCCAGCCTGCAATGATGATATTGTCATAAGGGTCAACACATACACTAGCGTTAATGGTGTAAGCAGAATCATGACACGTTCTTTCAGTTTTGCTGACGTTATTAACTGAATTCATCACTGTAAGTATTTTCGTTTCTGTTTGCAGTATTACCAGTCTCTTGTCAGACAACACGGACACAGATGTTGAATCACAATTTCCCAGACGAGGAATTATCACATGGTGCTGAAAATTGAGATCTTTGTCATACTTTTCTATTCGGTAGTCTCCATCGCCGCCCACAACCGTGGACTGTTTTTCATCTACAATGTACACCTCACCAGTCGTAGCGCTACATGTGATAGCATGTGGTCCATTGAGTTCAGCAGTACCAAATGTTTTAGTGTGTCTTTGATTGTACACATCAAACACATGCACGCACTTATTTAGTCGGTCAGTCACAGCGAGTCGCTGATCATCTGAAAGCATTGTCATATGATGTGGAGAAAATTTGGAAAGTTGTCTGCTGTAAGCCGGTGAAGAAATTTACCATTCCGATTCAGCACTTGTAGTCGTTCATTATTGCTGTCAGCAACAATGATGTCATCTCTGGAAGTGGTTGTGAGACCAGCAGGGCTGTTGAATTCTCTGTCCATAGATCCCTTCACTCCATGTCTGTGCAGCATGGTGAGCGTTGGTGACTCCATATTTTTCGGGTCAGAGACTTAAAAATAAAGCAGAGCATAAGCCAAAAAAGGAGATATGTTATTATTAAAATTGTTAACTAGGACACAAATTCGACCCTCATCACTCTATATTTGATGGCTGGCAAATGTCATTAAGTTAGTAATGATTGCTATACAAAACATGCAGGCAATTATGGGGTGAGAATACCGCCAAAATTATGGTGGTGTCATTATTTGAACATTGTTTAGTTGTTTGATCTTTATTTGGAAACTTGTTTGGTTATTATTTGGTCATTATTCGGTTATTTGGTATTTATTTAACATTATTTTGCGTTTATTTCATTATTGTGTTATCGTATTGCTATTGTTTCATTATTTCAACTTTATTTCTCAATTATTACATTATTTAATTTGCGAAATACGTTTCATTGGTGAAACGACCATTATTTAGAAATTCCTGCAAACTTTTACAAAGGCCGCATTGCCTTCATGAGCAATGCTTTATCGGAGGCGGCCTGGGACTATGGATTGAATACTACATGTATATCGGGGTCAGCTAATGTAGGTCAGGTAATCGAATGTTGAGGTGATCGCAAGTCAAGCGAACCGAATGTTGAGGTAATCGCAAGTTAAGCGAACCGAATGTCAAAGCATTTGGACGTAAAAATAACCGAATCTTATGACAATTGAATGTCAAGATAATGTCTAAATAACGACACAATTATAACACAATGAAACAATGACAAAATAATATTGTAGCAATTACACAATAATGAAATAATTAAGAAATAAAGTTTAAATAATGAAATAATAGCAATACTATAACACAATAATGAAATAAACGCAAAATAATGTTTAAATAAATAACAAATAACCGAATAATGACCAAATAATAACCAAACAAGTTTCCAAATAAAGACCAAACAACTAAACAATGTTCAAATAATAGCACCAAGCTAATTTTGGCGGTATTCTCACCCCATAGGCAATCACCTGACCCCAACAATTATATTTTTGTCTTCATTAAAAGACAAATCAACAAACGAGATATTTACTGTAAATATTAATGATATTTAACAGTCCATTTTTAATGTATATAATACGATTTAATTGTCTATCACCAACCTATTGTGATCTGTATAACAAGAAAACAGTTCTGATTACCTTGTGCACTGATAGGCTCTGATGCTGCAATGAAACCAAGGGTCTCTAAGAATCGAAAACGTTCTTTATTTTCAACAAACTCCATTGTACCCACTTTCTTATGGGTTAAATCGTTTTTCAAAATTGTGTTTGCTTCAAACATCTCTTGGTTGACTAAACACAGGAATCCAATATCATTTTCAATTTCTTGCAGCAGACATGCGGCATCTTTAAATTTCCTTATCTTATCGTGCTCTGGTTTTAATCGAGAAATTTGCTTATCAATCTCCTCCCTTTTCTTAGCGTGTGTATTATCCACTTGTTTCAGCATTAGCGATTTTTCCTTATTTATGTCCCCAATCATGCATTCTAGCCGGTTAAGTTTATCTTTAGCTTGCTCGCCAACTGTTTTGTTCATTGTTTTTGATAGGTTATCATTGACTTTCTTTTCCGTATCCACAATCGATTTCATAGACTGGAGCTGTAAGTTAAGTGCACACCCTTTTGTGTATGCTTCTTCGAGCACAGCTTTCTTTTCGGTGACAAATTTGTTTATGGGTTCATTTGTGTGTGATGGTCCATAGTGGTTGGACTCAGTACATTTCTTACATATAGGTGTGTCACACTCTTTGCAATATAATTCGAGTTCGTTGCCGAAGTGATGGGGGCATGACATCGTTCGATCAAAGGGTGTTTTGAGAAATTCACTCTGACGGAAATCATGTAATGAGACTGACGTATGTCGGCTGGTGACTGGTAGTTTGTCGTGAATGTCCGCGCAGCTGCTACAATATAGTAAAAAACAAGATTTACAATATTGCTGTGATCTGTCGTTTGCGCAGCTACGACAGAGAAACTCAGGCTCATTTAGGTAGAAATCCACAAGATCCATGATAAGAATGTTGGCAGGAAAATTCCCAACACCCCCATTTGGTATCATATGCTTCCGGGAACATATAATGCATGTGGTACATCCATCATCATTCGGTATACACACTTCACAGAACGTATGCGAACAGGGTAGAATTTTTGGTTTGTTGTACTGATAGCCACATTTCGAGCATAACAGAAACCCCACGTATTTCGATGACATGTTTCGTGTATCTGTAATTAAGATTTAGAATTAGTACGATGTACACTTTTCACAATTTATGCAATCAACTTATATTGGCGCAATTATTTATGTCAACTTTGTTTTTACAGTAGCTACATTATTATATGCATACATATTGCAAAATTACAGCAGAATGTCCCATGAAGGTCAAGTCTTAGGGTCGCATAACTTCATGCTTTTCATGAATGTGTTTTTTTGGAAGATTTACATGTTATTTTCGGAAAAAGTATCAAGATAGAAAATAGCTTTATTTTGTTGTCTTCACATTCAAAAAGAGGCTTAAATGAAGTGCATGATTGATTGAATATTGGGGTTCATCAGGTCATTATTATACATTGAATATTGGGGTTCATCAAGTCATTATTATACATTGAATATTGGGGTTCATCAGGTCATTATTATACATTGAATATTGGGGTTCATCAGGTCATTATTATACATTGAATATTGGGGTTTATCAGGTCATTATTATACATTGAATATTGGGGTTTATCAGGTCATTATTATACATTGAATATTGGGGTTTATCAGGTCATTATTATACATTGAATATTGGGGTTCATCAGGTCATTATTATACATTGTAATCATAAGTGCGTTATTGGTTTCTATTGTTGAAAATATCAAGCATTACTGTAGTATTGCAAATGAAAATATTAGTCACGTGATTGAAGTTATTTTATATTTTCTGTAGTCGGTACTACTTTTATGGTTGTCATGAAAACGTACTTCCTTGAAATTTATGTAAATGTGTTAATATCGACTGGCTCTTTCACTGCGGTTCTCGCTACAGGGAATAGCAATGGAGGCCGAGGAAACTCGTGATGTTTTGCTAACGCGGGAAAACAAAAGCATAGCAACAGATAGTGGTCACCAACGATTCGGATTATTTAGATTTAACCAATGGATACGTTCCAAACTCGTCTCGAGGTGCGAGCAGCAGTGTGTACCTCGCTATTTCCAGTACAACGCCAGCATATGGTATCAAATTAAGTAAGGCGTTTGATATGAATATTTTTATCAATGTCAACCAGATCAATAGAAAGTTTGTACCTTCAAATTTAAGGCTTCGATTCCGATTGAACACCGACTAATATAATTGTGTTTGTGTCCGGTGGGCTAATTTTGTGGGAAAAAAACTTTGCAATCGATTGTTTATATTCACAGAATACAATAATTACACTAAACCTATCACGTGACAATCGGCCATGTTTTCTGTTGCCATAGATGCAACAGTGAAATATGAAACTGTCGAACATAAAATTCCTGATTTATCTGTTTATAAATGTTTAGTAGCCGTTTACCTGTACCAATGTTTTCCCTCTTGATTGTATGTTACTGAATGTAAAGATCTCACTGCGACACCCGTCAAATCTACACTGTTACAAATTTCACAGGAGATACACGGTATACTTTGACAGAGAACATGTTCCTAGTCGCCACATAATTGCATGGATTTATAAGTAATTTCGCGTGTCAAATGAACGAGCTCTGGTTTTAAGCAACGACGTTACGATTTAGTTATACGTATATCAATACAGCTGCCATATTGATTTTACGCGAACTTCGAACAGTTCTAATCACGCTAATGATGTATTTGCAGCGGAGTATGGAACTTTGAAGAAACTCGGAAACGGTCAATTGATTTTGGTCAGTTCTTGCTAAGTTGATTTTATCTGCCTGCTCAATCGTATTGTCAAAGAATTCTCCTGGTTTCAAATAAAAAAATAAAAATAACCTTCCATCTACGTTAAAAAATATGGTGATAGTTAACAGATATCAAATAATACACATTAAAACAAATTTTGACTTTAATTAACAAAACAGTGCTTATTCTACAAAACAAATAGCAATTCTCAAATCATTATGTAAATGAAGTGAAATGTAGCTTGAATATCCGTTGCACAAAAAAAAACAAAAAAAAACACGCCTACACGACGGCCATATCGGTATTTGTATTTATTTATTTATGTCGTCGAAGCAATCGATCATCAATAGTAATGTTGACAAGTATTTGATATCAAATGTTATAATGTGCATGATAGCAACAATACACCGAAGAAATTATGTTTTATAGAATGAATAAGAAGAGTGCATCGCACCTCCTTGTGCATTAATTGTGTTAACAAAGCATATTATTGTATAGATTTCAAAGATGAAATATTTGCAAAACACAAATCTCACCTTAATGTAGACTCGAGCGATGTAGACATGAATGTGTGTATCAACCAACGCACCTCTGCAAGTGTTTGATGTGAGTGTCTTGCCGTGTTTATATACAGTTAGTTGCCAAAGTAATGAATTAGTCGGTAAACCATGTAAGGATGTGGTGCACTGTATCACAGTCACTAATAGCATGACTTATCACTGACAGCCGATAACCTGATAATGACGTCATCTGATACTAAACTCGTGCTACAGGTATTCTCCAAAAGTCTGCTTAAAGGTCAAGCAAGGCATGCATGCTTTAAATATTTCATTGAATTTACTTCGGTATTTTCATCACACTCTAGATTGTGGATAATTCGAGCAAACGGTATTCACAAAAATGTAACAAGGCTTGCCTAGTAAACCTTAGTTATATATACCATTGTATTATCTAACTAGTTTGGTTCAGGGTTTAGATTAAAAAGACGAAAATTCGTAAAATTCATTATTGCGCCTACTGACAAATTAAGGTGCATAATAGAGAGAGATATTTCATCAATAATGATATTTTCTTGGATCAAGCAAATAAAAGAAACCTATTAATTGCGCAATCCTCCCATAGGTTCAGGCTGGACAGATCAGTTATTTACAATCAATGTTTACCAATTTAATAAATTAGTGTTTTCGTCTCTGTTTTTAAAATTAGAATATGTGAATAAAAGTTCCGTCTTAACTTTCTTATCATAAACTTTCTACTCTACTCAGATTTGTTAAATGTTCAATGAGATCATTCAGAATCCGGTTATCTGACACGAGTTCAAAACTACCTAGGGGAACATCGTGTCGGGTTTCGCATAACGGAAAGATGATTGTTCCCTTTTTAACTGTAAGCAACGGAAGCACACAGAGTGATACAGGCGGAAGTCTTCGAAAAATTAAATGTACGAAAGCACGCTGGACATTCCGAGTCTATTTTTGGGCCATGTTGACTTAGTAAACCTTAACCTCCACCTACCGCAAATGAGAACAAGCTAACAGCAACAAATAAAACAAGATGAAAATGCTGTTGTTTGCAATAACTATACCCAAAGAAAGTAATAATACGACATGGTATTAATTTACTTGTAAAATGCCTTCACAATACTGAAATACTGACCAACATAAGGAAATTATAAATCATAATGCTCTGTGTTACAAATGAATTATAGCTATTGTAAATTAGGCGTATGATTCATCTTTATATTTATAATGTACTGAGTATATTCGAATCAATAGGGTCGATCGATCCGCTCTTATCACAGCGAGAACAAAACGTCTAAAGGAAACACAGTAGGGGATGTGCCGGGGATTTCCCCAAATCGTGACATTATGAGATTCATTTCATCAACAATGTTGGCACTCAACCAGCCACACATGAACACTTGAATAATGGGTTTTTTTTATAGGGCCAACAAACAGAAAAAAACAACACGAATTGTTTAGCTAATCTAAAATTGTCGAACTGAGTTGACACCCCTTCGTCAAGTTGTCAATTAAACAATAACTCAGCCATCATAACAGTATATGTGTGAAATAATCATTATAATTATGCTTCTATTGCGTTAGGTGAGCCGGCTTTAATACGACAAGGTACTTAATAGTTTCTTCAAAAGGATGTTCATCATCACTGATGTGGTTGTAATCCCAATTCAAGTCCCCCCCCCGCAATTGTAATACACGAGAAAGGGTAAAAATGAAGCACGACCTTTTAATTTCAGCTCAAATCTCTTCACGTTTTTTGTCACTGGCTGTGTGTTAAAGGCATCTTGGAATAACTTCAATCAATCAACCGATCTAATTCTTTTCATATGAAGTGGGGCGGGATGTTTTCCCAAGTCGTGACCAGACCAGATCTATATCACTTACCATTACGGGAGCCAACAGGTACCACCTACCTGTGATATTTGAATAACGAGCGATGTGTTTCAAATTAACTGATATCACACACCGAACAAACAGATTGTCAAGGTGGGCTAAGATAGACACATAAAGTCTTCACTCCGCTAGTCACTTCACATTAATGCATTTCAGGAAACAATACTTCAATAGCGAAGCAGTGGCGGATGAAAATGCATCTGGACTACGCATAGCATCGTCCGAATCGCACGGTCCCGTGTATTCGACCTATAGGCCTGGACCCCCCCCCCCAATACATTTTGCTGGATCCGCCCCTGTAGCAAAGTGTGAATCATATTTATGCTATAAACATAAATAATATAGTCATATTCTGCACTATTTATTTTCTAGATAGACATGTTCTGCAAGGCAAGACATACTGCGATTCCATGGCACTTTAGTTAAAGCGCGCGCCTGTAAAACACTTGCTACCCCTGTGTCCAAAATCACTTCATAGTTTTATATATGAGCGCAAAATAATGTCAGTCATTTATTGCATTTCAAAACGATATTTTCTATTACTTTAGTTATTATTAGCGTACAGTAGGCATGGCAGTGGAACTGTGTCACGGTTCTGGAGAACATTCCAGGTTCCAATTTATTGACTATTGACTTTAAATAATAATAATAAAACACTTCTATTTATTTTAACAAACCAAATATAATAACAAATAACCCTGCATTAATAATTATAAACTTGATTCATTTACGTTCAGATGTGACTGAACTTTATTTTTGTAATCAGTTTTTATGTTGCACCCGGGAAATAAAATGACAGACATTTACTGCATACTGCAACCTCGTTATAACATACTCTTTGAAAGATATAGTTTGTTAAAGTAATGTGTTCACTCTAACGAAGGACATAATAAATAGGGTTTGGTTTGCGCGGGAGAC